TTTATTTTCTAAAAGAATAGCAAATCATGTAGTGGAATCCCAAATGTTCTACCAAGCTAATGGAAAATACATTCAAGATATATATGAACCAAAAAAAAAAAAAGAAAAAAAATACACACACACTAACCTCTTCTGGAGTGATTGTGTACATCAAATCCTCAATCTTTCGAGCATACTGGAAAAGCCGTTCAAATTGCTGTAGAGGACAAACTTATTAGGCAAAAATATATAACTTGGAGAATGCATAATCAACAGGTAAAAGTTATCAAACTTTCAAGAAATATTTAACAACTCTCAGTGAAACCAATTATAGAAATATAGAGAGGAGAGGGGGAGAGAGAGATAAGAGAGTCTAAGCAACAAAAGTGGATTGCTTACATAATATATAATCATGCTGATATGACGTGTACAAGCTTGTTCATAAGCTTCACTCGCCTGGTGATAAAATTTGGCTAAAGTGGGCACAACATTGGCTAGGTCATACAAGCTGTGTAACCGCTTCTAATCAGTAGAGAAAACAGGAATTTTTTTTCCTTGAAGAAATTAAAAAAAATAAAAAAAAATAAAAAAAAACCTTTTCCAAACCAACGACAACATCAACTGAATAGCCAAAAGAAATCGACAAATAGAAGGGAAAAATTTACCTGTTCTGAAACGCTGCATAATTCTCTAGAAGAAAAATATCAGCATATTTTGGATCTGTTTGTGCAATTTTCTCCAAAGTAACAAACATAATGCTAACCTGTTAAACAATAATTACAATGTCAATTGTACTCCAAAAGAAGTTCCTACAGTAAGCGTAAATATATAGACATGGATTTCTATAGGTTTCTGACTAGCTACAGAGTAACATGCACACAATCTTCTAACAGAAGCTATCATACCCCAATAGGTGGCCTATACTCCAGTTTCAGAAGTCTTTTTTATTTCACCAGGATGTTGGCACTTTCCCAACCACTATAATGGCTGACTACTCTATAAAAAAATATAATGCAACAGGAAAGCAAGACTCAATATTGAATAATAAGCTTTTACCCCAATCAAGTATGCTTTCACTTGCTAACAATGGTAAAATATAAGCCTAACCACCTCCTCCAAGTAGGCCTTCAGACAAAGAACTACTTTAGGAGAACATTCCAGATTTCAGTAAATGGA